ATAGGAGTGGTGAGAGAGGACAACCTTGTCTTGTACCAGATCTAAGAGTAAAATATGTCAGTTTTTCCCAATTTAGGATTATGTTAGCCGTTGGGTTTTCATAAATAGCTTTTACCAGGTTGAAGTGGAGACCATCTATTCCAATTTTCTGTAGGACTTTGAAGATGAATGAGGGTTGGGCTTTGTCAAAAGTTTTTTGTGCATCAATGGAGATGATCATGTGGTTTTTAGTTTTTGCTCTATTGATATAGTGTATTACATTTATAGATTTTTGAATATTGAACCATCCTTGCATCCCTGGGATGAGTCCTACCTGGTCATGGTGTATGATCTTTTTGATGATTTGCTGTATTCTATTTATTAGGAATTTATTGAGGATTTTGGTATCTATATTCATGAGGGAGATTGGCTTGTAGTTCTCTTTCTTAGTTGCGTCTTTCCCTGGTTTTGATATCAGTATAAAACTTGCCTCCAAGAACAATTTTGGGAGGATTGCTTCCTTTTCAATTTCATGGAAGAGTTTGAGGAGTATAGGGACTACATCTTCTGTAAATGTCTTGTAGAATTCAGCTATGAATCCATTCGGACCTGGGCTTTTCTTTGCCGGTAGGTTTTTAATTACATCTCATATTTCATTGACTGTTATTGGGCTATTGAGAGTGGTTATGTCTTGTCGATTCAGTTGTGGTAATTTGTACCTTTCTAGGAATCTGTCCATTCTTCTATGTCTTTTATCCTGTGAGAGTAAAGATTCTCAAAGTAGCTACTGATAATCTTCTGAGTTTCTACTGGGTCTGTGGTCATTACACCCTTTTCATTCTTTATTGCTTGTATTTGAATTTTTTCTTTCCTCTTTTTGATGAGGTTAGCTAGGGGCTTACTGATTTCATTTAATCTTTCAAAAACCAGCTCTTTGCTTTTTTAATTCTTTAAATTGTTTTCTTTGTCTCAATTGAATTAATTTCGGCTCTAATTTTTATGATTTTTTCCCGTCTTTGGGCTCTGGGTTTGGTTTGCTCTTCCTTTTCTAGTTGTTGAAGGTGCAGCATTAGGGTCTTTATTTGTTCCTGTTCTGTTTTCCTAATGTGTGAGTTCACAGCTATTAATTTCCCTCTGAGAACTGCTTTCATCGTATCCCATAAATTCCGATAAGTTGTGCTTGAATTTTCGTTGAATTGTAGATATTGTTGAATTTCTTGTTTAATTTCATCTGTGACCCATTGGTTGCTGAATAGGGTGTCATCTAATTTCCATGTATTTAGAATTTTTTTTCTGGTTTCTTTTGTCATTTATTTCCAGTTTCATTGCACTGTGGTCAGATAATATGCACAGGATAATTTTTTGTTTTCTTGCATATACTTAAGCATGACCTATGGACCAGTATGTGGTCTATTTTAGAAAATTACCCATGTGCAGCTGTTATGGGTGGGTTTGGGTCTGAGATTGCATTTTGGTCCTTCTTGTTGTCATTTTGTGTAGCACTGTCTTCTGACCTTTTTTATAGATTGTTTTTGCAGTTATAACCTTAGCACCTATTGAAGTTCAGGTGCAAATCTTCAAATTTTGGATTTATCTAGTTGTGCCTGGCTCGGGTCTGGCTGCTGTGCTCAGCTCCTTCCTGCTGCTGCCCTTGGGAGTGAAGTTGTTGTGCCCCTCTGGCAAGATGTTCTGCTCCTGGACTAGCTGGGTGGTTCTATCCCCTATACTCTCTGCATGGATTGCAGCTGCAGGGTTTCACCTCTGGCCTTTATGCCAGGACTGATCTAAGCCTGGAGGGGACAAGGTGAAGTAAGGGGGAGAGGCAGCTCTCCCACTCACTTACCGGGCCTGGGCTAGGACTGGATCTGGGGGTCCACAGAACGCAGCAGAAATTTTCACTGGGCAGGGAGGGTGGGGTGCTGTGGAGTGGTGGTGGTGGGGGACACCAAGAGGGTGGAGAGGGTCTCACCCACACTGTGCCTGGGGTGGGACAAGCAGGTCCCACTGGCGCAGGGTAGCCAGAAGCTCTCCCACACACTCACCGGGCCTGGGATAGGACTGGATCTGGGAGTCTCTAGAATGAGGTGGAAATTCTCACATGGTGGGCGGGTTGGGAGGGGTGCTGCAGACTGTTGAGGGGTGTCCCAAGGGGGTGGAAGAGGGTCTCACCCATGATGTGCCTGGGCTGGGACCAGCAAGTCCCGCTGGTGCAGGGTAGCTGGAAGCTCTCCCACACACTCACTGGGCCTGGGCTAGGACTGGATCTGGGGGTTTCCGGGACGCAGCAGAATTTCCTACCGGAGGGGTGGGGGGCGTCCCAAGGGGGTGGAAAAGGGTCTCACCCACGCTGCACCTCTTTATAGGTATTTGTTGCTCTTCAGTTATTTTAAACTATTTTACTTCTTTTTCAAAAAGTCTGCTTTTTCTCATAAATAAAATTACTGACCTGATAGGTTTATTACTTTATTTGTTTTAATATATTGTGAGACAGATTTTAAGCTTTTCTCACTAGTTAGCCAATTGTTTAGATCTGGAATATACTTAACCACCTCCCTGTCCTAGTTAACATCCCCTTTTTCATTTTTAAAGAAATTGGGATGTCAGGTTAATTCCTTTGAGCATTCCCTTTTTCTTTCTTAAATTCTATGATTCTGATGTGTGTTGTTTTGGTCACTTTCCATCACTTGGACAAACATCTGATGCCACAACTTAAAAGAGAGGTTTAACTTGGCTCATGGTTTCGGGAGCTGAGTCCATGGCACCCTGGCTCCAAAGTAGAAGCCACATTGTGGAGGGCAGGGAGAGGACAGCTGCTGTCCTCATGAGATCCAGGAAGCAGAAATGCAGGGGCCAGGACTCCACCAGGAGACGGTCCACCTTCCACGGCTTGAGCCCCGTGGCCCACCTCGTCTAGCCAGGCCCCACCTCCTGACGACGTGCTTGGCTGTGGATGAACCCACCAAGGAGTATGGAGGCCCACGGTCCGGGTGCCTTCCAGGAACCCCTCTGTGGGACGGGAGACTGTTGGAGAGCACGGCAGCACTTAACCATAGCATCCATGCATTGCTGTTGCTTTTTACTGTAAAAGGTAACATTCTATGCAGATGAGACTATTCTTTCATTACTAAAATAAATACATAGTAAAGAATACTTCAACTTTATTCATTTCATAAACAACATACTCCTACTGCAAAGCAGCAGTGAATACTCGGATAAAAACTCGAGAAACATGCAATTCTGGTATTCTTTGCTCCAGGAACCTTTTTTCCTTTTTCTTTCTTTCTTTCTTTCTTTCTTTCTTTCTTTCTTTCTTTCTTTCTTTCTTTCTTTCTTTCTTTCTTTCTTTCTTTCTTTCTTTCTTTCTTTCTT